ATTGGAGTGGATTGGTGTGATCCTCATATGGATCCTTGATCTATCAGTGGATGGCCGGATGTACGGATGGATTGGAGTGGCTGTACGGATGGATTTGAGTGGATGTACGGATGGATTGGAGTGGATGTCTTGATCTATCAGTGGATGGGTGGATGTACGGATGAATTCGAGTGGATGGACATGGATGGCTGGGATGAGATGGGGGGATGGGACGGATGGGAGAGGGATGGATGGGGAGGGAGGGACCGGCGGAGTGGAGAAGAGGAGAGGGGCGGAAGGGGGGGGTGGGCGGAGGGGGCGAGGGGAGGATTGGCTTACTGATTGACTGACTGTGATTGATTGATTGATTGATTGATTGATTGATTAATTGATTGATTGATTGATTGATTGATGGTCTCCATTCGTTGTGAATTGATGTGACAGGTAGCTGGTGGTCGAGCAAGAGGAAACTGCAGCTATAGACAAGACAGTTTGTGTATCAATCAATTAATCAATCAATTAATTGATTGATTGACAGATTGATTGACAGATTGATTGATCGGGGACTCGATCTGTCCGTATTGGAAGCATTCAAGACAACGTGTGGCAAGTGAAGACCTCCACCTTGTGAGTCTGACCCAATCACTGGAGCATCCACGTGGCATGTCGCTGTGCAACGTGTGCCACGTGGAGGAGGATCAAGAAATGTAAGCGGAAAATCGCCTGGGGCTGCCATGGCGTCGTTGGCAGCTGCATCGAGACGAAAACTGACCTGCCGTGGTCCTACGTGTACCTCGAGTCGAAGCAATGGTTGTGCAGCGACGGGATATTACATTGCAGCAGTGCATCGAGCAATCAACGTGGTCGTGGTAATGTGACCTTATCTCCTGTCTGGGATTGCCTGTATTGCCTGAAGAAATGCCGTTTCCTTTCCTTTGTGGAGGGGACAAAAAACCCTTCTGAGGGGAGAGGGGAGGGGAGGGAAAAGCCATTTCGGTGGAGGGGAGGGGGGGGGAAAGCCCTTT